AAACAAAATAAAAATATATGGGCCACGGGCAGCCCACCTCCCACGATCTGCCAGTGGGCTGTAGCCGGGCCGCACGGGGCCGCGTTGTGCCTTGAATGCGCGACGGCCCACACACTCGTGTTATATATAGTGTCTTGGCTGGGCCACTATTGGGCTGACGGGCCGTCCCGAGGGATTCGTTCGGCTCGATCTCAAGCTCTCAACACGGGGCGGCAGCAAGCTCCCAACGAAAGTTCTCTCAGGTTCGGACAGGATGCGCACAAAAAGGCTCAAAGGTTCTGCTAGCTCGACCAATAACAGTAAGGGACAGATATGTTTGCTAATCACGTCTACAACAACTGTTTTATTTATTTTTCACAACAAGATCGATCAGTTCAATTCCAAGGTTTTCACCGTACCGGAGATGAGGCATGCCATAAAGGGATCGAGTTAGGCATAGCCGCATATAGATAGTACTAGATGCTGTCGTGCTGATACGCGTAGTGGTTGGAGCCACCCAACGAATAGCAGTGCTTACGTTGTGTCCATCTCCATCCCGGGCGCCTGGCGCTAATGCTATCTGCTTGTACCAGCTCGTAGGATGGCTCCTGTTCCAAAACTTTCCCGTGCCTAGAATAGTTAGTATATATATCTATATATGTAGTAGTATTCATAAAGAAATAGAGCGCGTGATGTGGAGCCAGCGTGCCACGTCGTCTGCTTTTCCCGGCCGTTCGATCGGGCGCGCGGACGGCTCAGATCGGGCGAGCCGCGGTATTTTTACAAAAAAACCCTCGAACTTTAGTCGAATCAACCCGCAGTCCAGGCCTCCTCTCATATTTTATTTCAAAAAAAACCCTCGAACTTTACCAAAATTAGGCCCGTAGATCGCCGGCCCCTCTCTATCCCGAGGCGACCACGGCGACGGGCGCGACCGGGGTGCGGCGGCGTCGGCCGCCCTCCTCCTCCTCCTCCAGCGCTGCTCTCCCTCGCCTGCCTCTCACCTCCATCTCGCCCTCCCCTTCCTCTCTCTCTCTCTCCAGAGGCACCGCCCGCTCCGTGATCCCTCGCCGCAAGCAGCGTAGCCCCATGAGGTGATGGCTGATGGGCGCCGCGCCGGGGGAGCAGCTGCTCGTGGAGCCACGCTCGGCCGAGGTCCCATCGACCTTGCGCCGCCGGAGTCGCGTGCCCTTGGGGGACGGCCGCGCATGCGCCGCCCGCGCCATGGCCGCCCGCCGAGGGCCCACCGAGCTTGACCCTCGGCCATCGGCCGCTCCTCTCCATCCCCCTCCCCAACTCGACACAGCCCCTCGCCCCCTCCCATCGCTTCACGCTCGAGCTTGGTGCGGGCGCCTCCATGGCCTCCGCGACGGCATGTCCCTCCACGAAAACGAAACACCGTCTCCGCGCGCGGTCTCTTGCGGCCCCGTGCGCCTGACAAGACTCCGCGTCACCCCTTTGCTCCAGCTGCAACCACTACCTCCATCAGCCCTCCGGCAAACTGCATCTCTGCGGCGGTTGTGGCTGCTCGTGGCTGCCTTGGAAGGGGATGTTAGGTGCCAGCTTGCAGATCCATGCGGAGGCAGGCATTCTCCGAGCAAGCAGCCATGGCGCCCAGGCACTGCCCGGGAAACAGAGCTAAAGCGACTAGCCAAGCCCCTCTGCGTGCTTTTTTATGAAACAGGTAAATGGTAGAAGTTAGATAATTTAATTATCCATGTAAGAGCTCATCAAATCCAGACTCCTTTTGAAAAAAAAACTGAGATTCTACACATTGACAAAATGGTGTATTTAATTGTAATTTCTTAACATGAGCTCGCCACTATCTTTTCCTCCTATGTATATTGTTAACCTGTATCATCACTTTGAATACTACATCTCCAACTGCACAATTGCAAAAACAAATATTATATGATAATTATCTCTCAAGACTCATAAGGTATAGGCTTATATTTAGAATTCATACCGTTGCTTATATATCACAAAATCTATGACATCAAGTAATTTCTATTTTGGAACACATCTTAACGAGTTATTCATTCAGAGTATGCATAATTCATATCAGATTATCAGATTTAATGGAAGATAAATTCCTCAATCTTTAGAGATTATAAGACCAATAGGGCTGCGATGCCATAGCATTGTACTCCCAGTAGTTTGAAATCAGAAGTTAAGATTTGTCCTTAGATGGAATACGCACATGTTGCGCATGCAGACTCACTAGGCATTACTTTGCCATTTGGTGCAGCAACCTGAACTCCAGGATTTTATGATACTTGGCAACCTGTTTTCAGAGAAAACATTGCTGATATGAGGCCGTTTCGCGCCATTCTCCCAGTTTGACGGAGCTGTGGAAATGCGGACCATGATGCTTCCTCCCCAACCAGTGGAACACGCTATTTAGAAGCATGAGCATTTTCTATATATCATATCTATTTGGCAATTCCACAAGCAAACACTATTGATTCTGTGCAGTGAACCCTTGTTTACAACAATTATGTGAAACTCATCAATGCTGGAAGGATACTAGATAATAGGAAAACTCTTTCTGAGTCTTTAGTCTTAATTAGAGATATTGTCATGCCTAATGTGTTTGATCTCTGTGGGCTAAACTTCACGGACAAATATTACTAGCTTTTGTATACTCAAAAGTCACCTTGGACTGAGATTCTGCCATCACTGTCCAGGTGATCTATTTTGCAATACAAATTTGACCTTCTGCTCCTTTAGCAACGCTACAGGCAAGAGAAACCTTCTCATAGCCTATGTTCTAAACTTCTAATAGATATTTCGTCTGCTACTGTTTTTTAAAAATATCAAATGCATATTCTGAAATGAGATTTCCCCTTCAAGTTATCTTAGTTCTTTGTGAATTACTTAATATTTTATAGCCATCCAGAGTTCTTTGCATTAGTAATTTAGTTTTTTTAATAAAGAATATCATTTCTCAAATATTATTAGAGCATGACATTTGAATATCTTCTATCAAATTAGCAAAAATATCCTACTATACCTACATTTAGGAATCTTGCATATCGAGATTAGTTGGGCCCATACCACCAGAAATTGGAAGGTTAAATCAGTTGCAAATGAGATCATTTAAGTGACTCTTGTTCTTCTGATGTGTGATGACATTATTTAAGTGGATACATCCTTTTAAAATTTTGCGATTTGGTGGAAGTGACATTGTAAGTTCAGAAGGGCATTTCTAAATTTCATTTGATTAGTTATAGACTTTTATATCATTGTTGGTTTCAACCCCACTCACTATGAGATAGATCTGATTAGATCTCTCCAATTAGATTAATTGAAGCTGTCAGATAATTCTTCACAGTTTCACTGTACAAACAGACTAAACCTAAAAGGCCAACTTGGAAACAAGTTTTCAATTTTACAGCTTTTGTCCTTGCCCACAGAATAGTATAGAGCTTAATGACTATTTCTTGATCTTTTTTTTCTTTTTCAGGAACTTATCCAGGAATACATTGAGCGAGTTCATTCCACATTTTTTTTTGAACTTGAGCTGTTCATTACATCATTGTAACTGTTTATGAGGAAATCCATGTAATTGTTATGACAAGCTATGACTCATAACAATAAGCAATACCATCTCTCATTCACTTGCAATTTCAATGAGTCATCGTGAGTGATCTTTCCCTATTTTATTCAAAATCATATCTGTCTTATTCATTCGATTCGATGGATACAAAGATATTCATCCATAAGCTGCTCTAATTTATCTCATCATTCTCCAATAAGTAGCAATGCTACTTTCCCATTCCTTAGATTCCAACTGAATTTGATTTTGGTAATGTAGCTTCGTTGGGAACCAACATTTCTTCCATCTAAACCACTGAACTCTTCTATCTGCTGTTGCTTTAACTATATACATTGAAGAGTTGCAATGCATTTCCTTTGGAAATTCATAAGCTGCAATACTCTACAGCTCTCGTTCAGTGTCAAGGCCAATTTGGCATTCTTTTATGTCAGATATATCAGTCAAACTCTAAGCTTCTGTTTCAACTTTGCCATGCCATAATCTCAAATTATGAACTTGCATGTGTGTAATCTAACATGATATAAGACCTGGAACATCTCAGGATCAACAGGTATACAAGATGTATCAGAAAGTATGTGAAGATGAAGAACACAGGTTTCAAAATCATCTATGTTGAGCCTCCAGAAAACTCACAACCAGCCAACTGCAGCAAAAGAAGTAACCGCAACTAGAGAAGACTATTTCACCTTTATCAATCTATTGCCTACATAACAATGCTACTTAATTACAATCAGGATCTAAATTAGACACTTTAAAAGTACATTAAGGCCCTGTTACTAACAGCATAAGAACAAAGATATACAGGTACTGTTGTAAAAAAAGATATACAGATGCATTTGGAAAAAAAAACTAAGAGCAGAACATGATATACAGGTTTCAGTGTCCAAACAAGCAAATAAAAGGGTGGCGCGGCGTTAGTGTCTTTCTAGTCTTCTTATAGGAATCCTGCACCCAAACCGCGGGCATCCGATAGTGCCACGTCACCCGCTAACCTGCTAGCCGTTGGATCAAGCGATCAGGTGATCTGGTCCGTCCGATTGCGGGTCGGTTCGGGCGTCGACCCGTAAAGTAGCGAATATTCCCGAGGGTTGCCCGTCGTGTAGAGGAGAGAGAGGAGAGAGCCGCCCGAGGCCGCGCGGACACCGCCCCCGCACCTCCCTCCTCCCGGCGCGGGCGGGGCCAGCGGCCCCAGCGCGGGCGGGATGCGGGCTCTGCGAGCGTGGGGTTCCCGGCCATCCCGGCTCCGGTGGGGGCCCCAGCGGCACCGGCGACCCCGGCACAGGCGTGGCGCGGGCGCGGCGGCCTTGGCCGCTTGGGTCCCGGACATCCCGGCGCGGGCCGGGGCCCCAGCTGCCCTTGCGACCTGGTCGCGGCCGCCGGTGCAGGCGTGGCTGCTGCGGCCACCCCGGAGCGGGCGCCGGGCGCAGGCACGGTGCCGCCGCACACTCGGAGGGGAGTGAGGATGCCTCGGCTGGAGTTCCAGGCGCCGCCGGATGTGTTCTACAACGAGTCGGAGGTCCCCAAGTACACCACCTCCTCCCGTATCATCGAAATCCAGGTGAGCAAGCGAAGTGCCTCCTCCCGTTTGATTTGAGCTTTGCCGATTTCACGGCGCTGGCGCGAAGTGACATGCCTTCTTTCAGTCTAGGATTTCCGAGAGGGCGCTGGAGCTGCTCGCTCTTCCCAACGATGGCGTCCCCAAGCTGCTTCTCGACATAGGTCAGCTTACTCTCTTCTGCAGCTCTGCTTCATGAATCATGGCATATCGCGTTGACTAGAACAACAGAAAGTATTCTCCTTTGACGGGGCAAAAATACATGCTGTGGGAGCTCTTTATTGCAATCGGTTATGGCAATTGAAAGACATCTATGTTTGAAGATATGCTTACCTAGATGACTTTGTGTGCTGTAATTTCTAGGATGTGGTTCTGGGCTTAGTGGTGAGACATTGATGGAGCATGGCCACCACTGGATTGGCTATGATATTTCAAAGTCCATGCTCGGTGAGGACCTCTCTATGTTCCTTTCTCTTGGCTTGTTTAGCACCAATTAGAAAGGGAAGTGGGAGTTTAGAGGAGGGGAGCTTTCTAGATATCTTGCCGTGCATCCTTTTTTAGAATTTCACTTTTTTGCACAGATGTTGCCTTGCTCATGTAAGAGTCCGCGTCACGGCGTGCAATGTAAGTGGTTTTAGTGCTTTGCATCGCATCTCCGTTGTGCCCATATGCGAGCTCCTACGCCGCGAGCACCGGCCAGCTCCTCAGCGGTCAGAGTGGGGTCCAACTCCTCAGCGGCCAGAGTGGTGTCCATGGATGATTCCCAGCTGCTGCTCGAGGAAATTCCTCCAAGGTAGGTGTGCATTGAGCCACTGAATAATCAGCGTTTCTGATAGTATTTGATCAGCAATCCATGAGCTTAAACATGAACATTCTATTGTCTATCATGCAGGATTGCATCGATTGAGATAATAATCAGAATGCATGGATAAGTGCTAATATTAACTGAAATAGTTGTATCCCATGTGTACTAACTATACATGTACATATATTAATGGTAGAAGTTCGAAGATTTGCAGTGGCTTACTTCATTTCATAAAACTGGAATGTCCTGTCTTTGTCGCCTGCCCTAATTAAAAAATTTATAGAATGGCACTTTTCAGATATTAGAGCATGACATTTCAGTATGTTTAGCAAAACCATCCAACTACTCCATTCAGGATTCTTACACATCACAGATTAGTAGTGCTACTTTTGTTCTTCCGATGTGTGAAGACTTGCAGGTATCTACAACGAAATTATTTAAGTGGGTATGTCCTTTTTAGAATTTAGCGATTTGGTACAAGACTTATTGTAGGCATAATTGCATATTGAGCCAACCATACTTTTCTCTAAAGCTCATAAGCTTGTTTTGGTGTAGCATTTTTTTCTGAAACATATGGGATCATCTATGTCAGTTAAGTACTTAAGTGTTACAGTAAAAAAAAGGGCGTACCCAGTGCAGAGAGCTCCCGCTCTGTGCGGGGTCTGGGGAAGGGTGTTACAGTCTGGTCACAAATTTAATCCTTGAGTAGCAAGATTACTAACTCCAAAACTCAAATTCAGAATACTTGCTCACTGTTTGTTTATTCAAAATTGTGCTTGAAGTGGCAAACCTCTGAATAGTCTGATAGCTTGCTTGATTTATTTCAGTACACTTGGAAATAATTATTTCTTGCTTACCAAATTAACGATTCAGCGCATGGATACATGTAGTCTACCATATTGTTCTCTGAACCTTATGACCTCCTTTATGTGAACTAAATGGTAGGCACATGGGACAAAGGGGCAAGCAAGCTCTAGCAATCAATCATATTGCCTGTCGAGTTATACATTTAACCTAATTGCATTAAGTCCTCAATGCTATTATGTAATAACGTCCGACAATCTCTAAACAAGGAGCTCAAGAACTTTAAACCAAATTTTCAGGTTTGTTTTAGATTCTACTAATTACTAATTTGATTGCATTATAAATTAACATAATGTGCCTTTGCTTCCATTATAAATTACTTATTGTTCATATCTTGCTGAAAGCTCTGATAATAAAATTAACATAATGTGCCTTTGCTGAAAGCATGATATGACTTGTATTCACTTTTAAGTGTTCTATTAAACAACATGCTGTAGTGATCTACTTTACATATTCAATCAACACATGTTCAGCTTCTGAACAATCTGTAAACAATACTATTTTGGTGTACATATGTGCCAGGATAATTTTCTAGCTATATGCTACTACTCCACAAACATAAAACGAGCATTGTTAGCTATATATTTTCTGCTGCTAGGAGTAAACCATGTTTAACAGTTAAGATATTTTTTTGTCTGTCTTACTAAATATTGATCTGTCAGCATTTTTTGGTGCTATCTCTGAACATTTCGGACTTTGGGCATCCTCACGTAGTGCCAAGGATGTGGCCATGGCCACTTTAACCTCTGTTCAATCTCTCTCGAAGGTGTTGCTTATTTCACATTAAAAATATTTTAACAAACAAAAAACTTCTTTTGTTGTACAAAGAGTACACGTCGACACCCAGCCCTGATTGACTTTTTTTTTTCCGTTATCGTTGACTGTTTATGTCTCCCATCTTAATTTACATTGTTAGATAATTACATGTAATCAGCAAGTGAACTCGGCTGCTACGTGTAACTGCAAACACTTATATATCATGTCGTCTGCCTTTACAGGTGGCAACACCCGACACGAGCATAAGAAGATGCCTGTTGAGAGCAAAATGGGAAACCACGAGTTGTAAAAACAGGGTCAATGAATTAGCAAAATGTACTCTTTTTAAGATCAATTGTACTAAAGCACAATTGTTCGGAGTTCAGGTAAAAATCCCGAGAATCATGACAGTGATCATCACCATATTCGTACATTACTATCAGACTAGACCATGTTTGATTATTGATGCAACATGGATCTAACAAAATTAGTAAATATGGATCTAAACAAGATGGGATAATTTTTCACCTTTGAGTCTATTAGCATCTCTTAACAACTGAAATGTTGCTAGCAGGTGCTAATAGTTAGCATATTAAAACTAGCAAGATGCAAACGGAAACTGGCCCCTAGGCCGCAACCGATTGATCAAGGGCTGGCGCGGCAAAGCCGCGCCATTCTTTCTAGTGAACTGATGATTCTGATCACCGAATGGTTGGCGGGATGATGATGCATTTTAATAGTCCGGTCAGCGCGCTTACTACGTACCCTGCAAAGATTAGCTGTTCATGGCATCCAGCTTATACTGTCCAAATCCCTCAAATGGTTGCTTCTTTTAGATGATAATGAAATGGTTGCTACCAGAGACATATATACGACTAGTTTCTACTCTCTAGCTAGTAACCTTTATACATATACTCTTCCAGTCATGCATGGATCAATTGATGCACCTGATACTGTGAAGTCGTTGCATTGAGTGCTTGCTTCAGTCGTGCATATGTACTTCAGTATACTCTATATTCTATATTGTAGAGATAAAGGAACGCCCACGGAAGTATTTATCAAAAAAAAAGAGCGGAAGCTTGTTGTAATGCATGCAATATATATACTAACACTCATATTTCATCGGTCTATATACTCCCTCGGTCTCTAAATAAATTAATTTCTATTATTATTGCCTCGTAATAAGCGCGTTGCCATTCAAACTAGTCATGGCGACCGGCATTCAATATTGTTGCAACTTCAACTGCTTCGTACGGTACATGTGCGCCTGCTTGCCACAACGACCGCGTCTAACATGCATGCTGAGCACCCTGATGAATGTCTGATACTCCATGGATGCTTTTTGATATTATTAGTAATATATAAAAGCAGGGGCCGGGGATACAAATCTTAGTATTTTACTACAGTGCAAGTTCAATTCTAGGTCAAAAGCTTTTGTATTCCTCTAGTTGTGCAGTGCAACATATATATATGGTCTCTGTTTAGAACCCATGAACTTCTTCACATGATCCTTTTTACAATAATTAACTTGAATAATTAGTTCTGCTTCTAAGGGTGTTCCAACCAAGCATGAGCTGATTCACTTAGAATGGCTGGCCGGATCGATGGTATGCTCATATACCGATGCAGTGGAGGTGCTGGCTTCAAATTTTAGGTTGAGCGGACACAAGTGTGACAAACATGCTTATATATATATAACTAGTACATAAAAGATCGTATAGGCATATCATATTTTTATTGAGATCACATAAATAAGAGCAATGATAAATTTAAAGATTCAAGACACCTCTTCCCAGTGACGGATCTAGTGGCCGTGAGGGGGGCTCCAGAACCACTTCAACAGTTTTTGCCTTAGTTGTTTTGAGGAGGAGAGAGGCTGGGGTTAAAGATGAATTTTCAGCCTTCTGAACTTTCATCCTAGATCCGTCACTGTCTCCTCCTGTTACGCATAACATAATAACATAATTCATTAATTCAAGCTACACCAAGTGAACAAGATCCAAATCCAAACAGCTAAAAGAACCAACCTGTCAATTTGGAAAATGTATCAGTTAGTTTGTGATATACTCATTTTTTTTAACATGGAAGAAATCTCCATTACACAATAACTGGGGCCAAATCATTGGCCAACAGTACATGGATACAATTTGGAATACTGTCAAACACAGTATCAGTACCCGGACTCAAATTACATCCCATTGCAGCAAGGCCATGAGCCACTGCATTACAAGATCGTGGATTATGAATTACTGACCAAGAAACAAAATTACAAGATCGTGGATTATGAATTACTGACCAAGAAACAAAATTAAACCACAAAAGAGCCTTCCGTTCCCACACCAGGCCGCTTGCTGAGCTTCGATCAGTCTCCACAGACATCACCGACTGAACTACCATCAAAGCATGGTTAGATAATCTACTCCTATCTTGTGTGAACACAACAAGGAAAGACGGCGTCAAAATACCCCCTGTTGTGATAGTGTAGCCGTTGTAGGTGTAGGCGCCGCATGGCTCACCTGCAGCACTGTAGGCACGTGTAATTGCCGGCGCAGAGTCAGCCTTGTATGTTATCTAGTTACTGTTACAGCATGTGCGCTATATTAGAACTAGATGGATAGAGTTGTATAAATAGACTACCACGACAACTCGGTAAAGAGAGTTCAGATTTGCCATCTCACAGACAGGGCTTCGCCCAATGCTGGTGTCTTGTATTGTGTGTGCGTGCTCTATTCTCTCTTCTTCTTCTAGCTCCAGTCATAGTGTGTGGGGATGGACAACGCTTATTCGTGGTTGGCACAGCTAGTGGGTGCTCGGCAACACTAGCGGGTGCTCGGCAAGACTAGTGAGTGGTTCACTCACCTGAGCCGGTGATCCTGTGGGTCAACAAGTGGTATCGGAGCATCGTCAAGCGTCGTCGCCAGACTAACCACTGGCGATGACGGGCGGTTCGGAGATGGGCGACAGCAGTGGCACTGCTGTGGCTGCCCAGCCACGACCGGAGGTCGTTGTTCGCACGATGCAGGAGGTCAGCGGCACCAGTTGGCCGACGCTGACTCGCACCGACTATAGAGAGTGGTCGGTGACCATGAAGATCAAGCTCAATGCCCGACGGCTCTGGAATACAGTTGACAAGGGCACCGACAATGAAGAATTGTTAGAAAATTTACTGCTACCATGTGTGAACAAAGTAAGGGAAGGCGGCGCCGAAAGGCCCCCTGCTATGATACTGTAGCCGCTTCATGTGCAGACGTCGCACGGCTCACCTGCAGCACTATAGGCACATGCAGTGGCCGGCGCAGAGTCAACCCTGTATATTATCTAGTTACTGTTACAGCATGTGCGTTGTACTAGAACTAGATGGATAGAGTTGTATAAATAGACTACCACGGTAACTCGGAAAAGAGAGTTCAGATTTGTCATCTCACAGACAGGGCTTCGGTCAACGCTAGTGTCTTGTATTGTGTGTGCATGCTCTGTTCTCCCTTCTTTTTCTAGCTCCAGCCATAGTGTGTGGGGATGGACAACGCTTGTTCGTGGTCGGCACGGCTAGTGGGTACTTGGCAACACTAGCGGGTGTTCAGCAAAACTAATGAATGGTTCACTCACCTGAACTGGTGATCGTGTGGGCCAACAAGCATCAGTCTCTAGGATCACCCTTTGTAGCCCAAGTTCAGAAGCCCGCCGAAGAGCTTGTAAACAAGCTATCAATTCTGCATGAAATGGTTCAAAAACCTTCTCCAATTTGCCGAAAGCAGTACTGATTACTTTCCCTCCGCGAAAATACCATTCTTATTGTAATGCCAAGCTAGGATGTCATCCATTCCCTCGTGTACCGGAAGGCTCAAAATCAACAACCTGTTCGGCTGGGGCTGAAACGATCGTATACGATCGTGGATTATTACTGCTGGCTGGTTTGGTGTGAGAGAAAAATACTGTTCTGGCTGGAAATTTACGATCGTTTACGACCAAACCAACAAGCCGCAACTCTGCATCATCATCCCAAAATGTGTCCCTAACAAGTTCTGCATCCCAGGTTCCGGTGACGGGGTCTATGAGATTATTGACCCGTGATAGCAAGCTTGCCCTCCTCGGCGTATATGGTTGACGCAAATGCTCTCTTGGCAGCCATTCATCCGCCCAAATATCAATACTTGTCCCATCCCCTACCCGCCAAATAAGACCTTGTTTAATCACCTCAAGCCCCGCTAGCATGCTCCTCCACGAGTTTATCACCTATTTGCTGACGCCTTCGGTACGTCACCAGCAGGATAATACCGCGCCCGTAAAATCTGCGCACATAATGAATCAGGCTTCCTCAACAATCTCCAACACTGTTTTGCTAACATTGCCATGTTGAATACATGTAAATCTCTAAATCCAAGATCTCCTTCCTCCTTCGGGAGTGTCAATCTTTCCCAACTTAGCCAATGCATTTTCTGCTCATTGTCTTGTTGACACCACCAAAAACGGCTGATCATTGAGCTCATCTCGTCACAATCCCTTTGTGAGATCAAAATAGCCCATAGCAAATATTGGAATAGCTTGTGCCACCGCCTTGATCAAAATCTCCTTTCCTGCTTTAGATAGCATTTTCTCTTTCCAACCTCGAATGCGCTGACACACTCTCTCCTTTAAATACATGAATGTTGCAGCTCGTCCATTCCCTATATCAGTTAGAAGTTTCACTATGTGCACCCCACTCCTTTTGCAAACCTCATGGCTGCGAGCTGTGTAGTTTGCCGTTCTAAGGTACCAGCTAAGGTGTTCGATAGTCATTAATTCCTGATTGTAGTGTATAGTTCAATAGTACCATAAATGTAATGAAGGGTTGTGTAATATATAGCTGAACATAACCATAAGAGCTACAGTGCACATACAAATCATGCTATATGTCGTGATATATGTTTGATCTTAGGTACTAGCGCTGGTGATGGTGGCAATTACCATATTAATGATTATAATGTATATGTGACTGATATCTTAGCTTTACCATATCTGATTATGGAGCTGTGTATGTCGTAAAGGCTAGCTTTTATTCTTCAAATCATGGTAAGGCTTCCACGTCTGCAGAATTCCTCTAGTACGCTTCATCGAAAAAATCCTCTGCACTTTCTGCAGAATTCCACGTCTCTTGCTCGACGACGATGATCACATCAAACAATTGGAGCGGCCGGGGAGTACTAGAGGTGAGCAAGAGACAAGCCAGTGCTGAGCAGTGCACGCAAAAGGCGAGGCCCATGCTGCCATAAGCGCACAATTGCCTGAAACGGGGGAGTGGTTCGGAGCAGTTGGGTGCTGTGCTGTGTTGGAACGGTTGGCGCCCTCGGCGGCTCGGTCTCCTCCCTTTTCCACCCCTCTTCCTATTTGAATATGATCCCCACGCCTCCCGTGCCACTCTCTCCATCGGCATCCATCCACTCTCGTCCCGTCCCGCCGTACGTACCTGAGCTCATTCCCTCCACCTGCTCACACGCACGCTAGCTACTTCCGGCGCGGCACAGCTGTTTAGCTAGCTCACACACGCACGACTACGATGCCGAAGCCGTGGAGGCCGGTGCTGGCGTCGGCCACCAAGTGCTGCGCGGCGGAGGACGCGGCGGTGGCCCCCGACGGGCTGGCGCGGTGCCGGCCGCAGCAGTCGGAGCTTTCGCGTCGGCTGGCGTCCTTCCGGCGGCTCTCGTCGCTGGCCAACAGCCCGGCGTCGTCGGCCACCACCACCACCATGGCGGACAAGGACGGCAGCGTGAAGCAGCAGCAGGGCGGCGGGGAGATGGCGGGCCCGCTGCAGCTGCACTCGTTCGGCCTCGGCGAGCTCCGCGGCGTGACGCACGACTTCTCCAGCAGCTTCCTGCTGGGCGAGGGCGGCTTCGGCGCCGTGTACAAGGGCTTCGTGGACGCCGGCATGCGCCCCGGTCTCGACGCCCAGTCCGTCGCCGTCAAGCAGCTCAACGCCGCGGGCTTCCAGGGCCACCGGGAGTGGCTCGCCGAGGTCATCTTCCTGGGCCAGTTCCGGCACCCGCACCTCGTCCGCCTGCTCGGCTACTGCTGCGAGGACGAGGAGCGCCTGCTCGTCTACGAGTTCATGCCGCGCGGAAGCCTCGAGAACCACCTCTTCAGGAGTAGGTGTCCCTGGTCACCATGGTGTGTTGCTCTCTTCAGGAGCCACTGACTTGACTTGACTTGCTCACCTCGATCTCGATCGTGTCTGCACTCTGCAGGGATCTCGGCGACGCTGCCGTGGGGCACCCGGCTGAAGGTGGCGATCGGCGCCGCCAAGGGCCTTGCCTTCCTCCACGCCGCCAACACGCCGGTGATCTACCGGGACTTCAAGGCCTCCAACATCCTCCTCGACTCCGACTTCACCGCGAAGCTGTCGGACTTCGGCCTCGCCAAGATGGGTCCCGAGGGCGAGGACACGCACGTGACGACCCGGGTGATGGGCACCCACGGGTACGCGGCGCCCGAGTACGTGCAGACGGGCCACCTGAACGTGAAGAGCGACGTGTACAGCTTCGGCGTGGTGCTCCTGGAGCTCCTCACGGGCCGCCGCGCCATGGAGCACGTCCGGGGCCGCACCGCGCACGCGGAGCAGCAGGTGAAGCTCGTCGACTGGACCCGCCCGTACCTCAACGGCGGCAGCCGCCGGCTGCGCTGCATCATGGACCAGCGGCTGGCGGGCCACTACTCCGTCAAGGGCGCGCGCGCCGTCGCGCAGCTCGCCGTGCAGTGCACGGCGCAGCAGCCGCGGGACCGGCCAAGGATGGTCGCCGTCGTCGAGGCGCTCGAGAAGCTGCAGGGGCTCAAGGACATGGCCGTCACCGTCGGGCTCTGGCCCGCCACCGCGCCCGTTGCTGGCAGGAACGCCATCTCGGCGAAGATCCGCGCCGAGGTCAAGGGCGCCGGCGCTGGGTCCCGGCGGAGGAGCGCGTCCTCCAAGCTGCCTTGATGGATCTTCGACGATTGGTCCGGCAGGACACCTGCGTGTCACGTCGTACGTACGTGTCGTCGTGTACCGGGGTGTAGGAATCTTTCAGTATTGCATAATGTGCCCGCGTGTGTGTATATAGTATCGTACGTAAGATCTATACTACCGTATAGGCCGGTTAGGCGCCGACATTTGGTGAGGCAGCGATGGTCATGTGTGCCTCTGTATCCTCCATGACTCACTGTAGGATCCATACATATTTTGCTGCTCCTGGATTCATCACGGTTCATGAAGCGATCGTTTTGTTTTGCGAATACATGTACCAAGATACATACAGCTTGTTTTCTTCACATCCATGTCCGATCGTCTGTATATCTCTCTTGTGTGTGGACAGACAATGCGGATAGGAACGAATTGAAGTTTCTACAATTCTACTGCTGCGTCGTCGTTGTCGGCGACGACGGGTGCTGCTTCAGAGCACGCACCTACGGATGGAGCAGTATTTGTCCCGTTGCGGCTGCGTCCAGCATTCAACTATTCAAGCGACAGCAACGGCATCGATCGGAGCAATGTACGGGACACTCGAGTGTCGTTCTCTCGACGGCGACGTTGCTGCTACGCGACGACGACGGCGACGGCGGACGCCCCGGCCCGGCGAACATCCATCGGCGCGGCGTGTCACTGTAGCTTCCCGGCCGGTCTCGTCGAGAGTCAAGACATGATCAGCCAGCGTAATCTTCCACGGCTTTACCTTTGTCCCACAACGGGATCGACGGGAGACCCACGACGTACGGGTCTCCGTGGATCTAGCGCCATATCTCGCGACGAGGTCAATCTGATCTTTCCGCGCGCGCACGTGCAAAGACTGCCTAGCAAGCTATCACGCCTATCAGTGAAGATCTGTGTGATGAATACTAGCTAGTGTTATGGTGTACCAATACACACTTTTCTGAAAAGTGAACTCACAAAATCAGCGACAAAAATACATATATACCTTAAGATCATAGACATCTGCATTGACACGCAAATTATTGTGGAAAAGTTTGACCAATTGTGAACTACATGGAGAAGACAAATTGCTTCTTAGAATTTTGCGATTTATTTGTCTCCAAATTCCGAATGTCACCATTGGAGACGATATTCTGGCTGCTGGAGTCTCCAACCCATCAACTCTCTCTTGAGGTTCAAGGTTAGGATTTTAGGTTTGGTATTGAATTTTAATCCATACTTTTGTGGGGGTATAGTGTTGTCCTAAACGCTAAATGATAAACAGTCGGTCGCTTACTGTTTAATCATTATTCAGTCTAAATAGCCACTTAAGCGAGCAGAACGGCCGATTAAACGAATACGTCACACAGTCGTGCAGCGAGCCTTGCCTCCCAAAAGCCCGGCATCTCGAAACAGCAACAGTGGCGTGTTCCTCCGGGTAGCTCGGACTCGGAGGGGGCCGGCGGAGGGCGACGGCAGGCCGGGCCAGGGAGACGCGGGCGTTGCTGCGTCTGGCGACCCAGCTGCGTGGAGACAATTACACAAACCGTGCGAGGCACAGCACAACCGCACACAGGCGACGCCGATGCGCGCGGACCCGGCCGCCGCGACGGCGAGAGCTCGCGGCAATCTCCGCGGCCTCTCGAGGCGGATTGGTCCGCATGCTGCTAGCCGACTCGCGACCGCCTCTGCTTGGGTCATCAGTCCACGCTGCGCCGCACCGGTCGCGGGGCCCCGAATGGCAGCAGCACGCACACGTACAGGTGGTGACTAGTGAGCTGTTCGAAAAATCACGGTTTGCGAGTGGTGACCGTCACGCAATCAGTGCCGGTCCTCAATTTTATGGGCCATATGGCGATCTCGTCGCAACGGTCTATCATGTATAAAATCTATTATAATATATATGTACTAATTTTACTTGCAAAACGAAATCAAATTCAATAACATATTTTTAATTTAACATGTCTGATAATTATCGAGGGACGATGTAGATTAAGCAATATATTTATAGATGTATGATAATTATCGAGGAATAATATAGATTAAAAAAGCAATATATTCGTTTTCTTTTCTCACCCACGACAAATGTTTCTTATGTAACATTCTAAAATTCTAACACCTAAATTAGAAGAAAAATATAACTATATGGGTACAAAGTACTATAAGTCTGAAATACTATACAAATAATTAATTTGGATTAAAAATAAAAAGGAAAAAAATACCTTGGGCCTAAACAATTGATCGGTGATCGCAATTCGTAAGAAGCCAAGAATCAAGATGTCGTCGTCGTGGAGCCCTGCTTAGTCGCCGTCCTCGTGCGCCGTGTCCGTGTCTCCGGTAGTCTAGCTCTTCACGGCGGTGCGGCTCGTCAGCTTCGCGTGTGTAAGACGCACGTCACGAACTCACGATGAGAATGTGCTGTGTGCAGCGTGACTCCTCGCATCCTCTCTACCCGAGGGCCGTGGGGAAAGGAAACTAGGAAAGAAATGCCGATGTTATCTTTTTGAGCCGTCTGGTCGGTTCTACATCTCTCTTCTTATTAATTTGCTAATGCCTAATGAACTATAGAATGTGTGGATTTGTATACCTGGGCTTGGGCCTCTCCTCCGCTTGGGCCCTCGGCCGTCGCACCTCCTGGCCTACCCCTAGGGCCGGCACTGGGTACAAAATTGATACAGCTCCAGCCTCAGCTTAGTCAGATACGAACTCAGTCGTTTTCTCCGGTAGTACTGTTTCCTTTGCATTTCCATCACTACTCCAGCAGTCCAGCAACCAAACGCTAGCTGACTGTAATTAGACATGTAAGCGGCCAAGCTCATGAGCCAGTTTAATTTGTGGGTTGCTACTAGTCTACTACAACTCGTAAGATTAAGCATATATACAGGTTCGTGTGCAGCGTAGAAAATGTAGACGTGACAGCACCCCCATAGGCCATACACTAGGGAGTAGTCAGGCTAGACATACTCGCCGTGTAGTCTCGTTCGCTGGTCTAAAACTTAACTGAAACTGGCTGATTTTGTGAGAGAGAAACACTGTAACGACTGATTGATGAACAATGTTTTGTGAAGAGGAGTAGTCGGCTGGTCTGGAACAACCAGACCAGCGAACACGCCCTAGGTTGTGTTTGGAAAGTAGCCAATCATACAGGAAGCGAGTAGTCACGGGAAATGCTCTCCCTCGTTATAGGTGGAGGAGGAGAAGAGAATGACGAAGGGCTACTTTCCCAGGAAGTGATTGGGTGGGAGGAAATTTTCTGGACAAGGTAATCCCTGTCCCCCTGCTGGGGGGATATCTCCGCATGGAGTAACTTCCCGGTTGCTATTTGCAAGCTTTTCCAGAGAGATAATCAGTTGCTATTTGAAAGCTTTCCTAGGGAGATAATCACGTATTCACGTGTTGGTTGATAACTGTTGGCTTGGACAAACCAGCGTATGTATGCATGAAGGATGATCCGATGATACATATGTTAGATAAAAAAATATAAAATGCTAGTGAATAAGAAAGTGAGTAACATAAGAAAACATGCTAAACAAGGGGCAGAAATCCTAGGATATAACAAATATCTCAAAAACTAAAAAAAGGTCACATTCAAACTACACATGCTGTCCAAACGAAAACATTAGATTCTTTCTGAAACCAAAAACTGAAATATGCAAAACTCAAATTTAACCAAATTTTTTTTGACAACATTTCTCTGCACTTTATGAAAATTCTACAAGACGAAATATGTCACAGGTCTCTCCATACAAATACATAGATAATTAAAATATAATATAATATGAAACTGTCTGCCATAATCAATTAAAAATTTGACACTTTTGCAGCTTCCTTAATCTTACCTTGTTTCTCTGGTAAACTCCTGCAGATACATTGAGTAAAAATTAGAGTAGAGACTACGTAATAGTAAGGTTGAAAAATCATATCATTATAAAAGAATGTAGCAAGAATATCAGACTGAATGTTTATCAATGGATTGATTATAAGGTCTGAGTTGCTATCTGGATGCTAATCGAAACAGGGTTATCATTATGAAATCAAGGAATTGTTAACAGAAATTAGATGGAAAGGAGAAACACATGCTTATCATTATAAATTGGAACTGTGTATGGCACTATCAAATAATGTATTCCTTACTGATCAAAGATCTAATATTAGTAATAATTTGAACCAAACAAAAATGCTAAAGAAAGCTGTTTGATATATCTTTGAAACTTAACTCTGAACTATGAAGTTCATATCTGAAAACAATTTGAACAAATCTATAGTATCAATCTTCTTGGTATATCAAATGGCTTGTTCAGGTTAACTAACATACCAGGATCAATAGTTTTGAAGGTATTCAAATTTGTCAAGAGATAACAGTTTGCTAACTCTGAAAGTGAATCTTGAATTCTTAATTTTGGACCAACGTGGATAATTCGCTATTGATCCATAAACCAATATAGACCAGAAATAATTTTTGTTAAGGCTGACTAAATTATTTACACATGAAATCAAGAGAGAGATTGGAGGGGGTAACTAAGTGAGATTATGACTGAACTCGAGTTCAGTTAGCACCGGTGGCAGCAGTCTGCTCTACCACACAGCTACTTCACCTGCTCACCGCTGAGCGCCACCGCTGAAATGCGCCGCCTTTGCTCCCTCGACACACGTACAACTGTTCTGTTCCTCCAACTCAACACAAACAACCAGCTGCTGTCCAAACCTGAATCTACAAGGGCCAGTGAGAGGAACAGAGAGAAGAAACCCTAGCAGAGGCAGGGAGGTGCGGATGGAGGAGGAGGTTTGGGATTTACCATATGGAGGCGGAGGTGCTGGTAAAGGAGACGCAGTAGAGGCGACGACAAAGGGGACGATCCATGGTGGCAACGGCGGAAGGGGCGGTCTCAATCGAGGCGGAGTCGGGAAGGAGCAGCGATGCACGATGCATCGCGACTCGTGAGACAACGGGCAAGGAAGCGCTCCCTGCCTGATGACTTGTGGCTTCCTGCCCCGTGGAAATCGAAGGGCGGATTGGGGCTACAATTCCGCGT